AAAGATATCTACTCTCTCTACTTCTCTTCAATAGAGTACTAGAATTCCTAGCAAGAGCAGTAAGGCAAGAAAAGAAACATAAAGGAGACCCAAATAGGGAAAGAAGAAGTGAAACTATCCCTTTTTGTAGATGACATGATTCTGTATTTAAAGGACCCGATAGTCTCCTCCATCAAGCTACTAGAGTGATTTTAAACTTTGGCAAGTTAGTAGGTTATAAAACCAACCCACCAACGTCAGTAGCTTTTCTGTATGCCAACAATGAGAATATCAAGACTGAATTCAGGAAAGCAACCTCCTTTGTAATAGCCTCAAAAAAAAAAAAAAAACCCACTAGGAATTAACCAAAGATGTAAAGGGCCTCTATCATGAAAACTTCAAAAAAGGAAATTGTTAACCCAATGATCTTCCTTCCCATAGCTAAACACGCTCCTTCCCCGCCCCACAGCTTAGCACGCTCCCTTCCTAGGCAGCACTAGGCCCATGTAGTAAATGCAGTAAATATTCAGCCTCCAACCCCCTTTACCTTGGGATGGCACTTCTCTGGGGCAGCTACCCCCATATAAGGCAACAAGAGCCCCTTAGAGTGACCTTCAGGTCTGGGCAGCTGCAGGGCCTCTTATCTACTATTTGGGCAGCAGCCATCAATCCTAGTCTGCCATGATGAAGCCCCTGGCCCACATGTCCACACCAGGGTCTCCGCCTCCTAGCCGCTTCTAGCCCTTCTTAAACCACCTAGGTTATATAGGTTACCCCGGACAGTAGCTGGCGCTTCTTCTCACTCCTCCCTGGTAAGAAGGGGTCGTGCCCATCCCCTTACTGGAAATAACCTTTTCTTTGTTCTTTGTACCTGGATATCTGCATGTTTTCTGGCAAAGTCTAATTTACTCTAACAGAAATTGAAGAGGATTTAAGGAAATGGAAAGATTTTCTGTGTTCCTGAACCTGAAGAATTAACATCATGAAAATGATAATACTGCCCAAAGCAATTTACAAACTCAATGCACTATCCATCAAAATCCCAGCAACATTTTTCAATGAAGTAGACAAAGCAACTCAAAAATTCATATGAAATAACAAAAGACCCTGAATAACAAAAGTAATTCTTAGCAGGAAGAACAATGTTGAAGGAATATCAATATCAAACTTCAAACTCTATTACAAAGCCATAGTAATAAAAACAGCTTGGTACTGGTACAAAAATAGGCCTTTGGACAAATGGAACAGAATAGAATACCCAGAAATAAACCCACAGACCTATAGCCATTTAATATTTAATAAAGGAGCCAAAAACATAGGTTGGAGGAAAGCCGGCCTCTTCAGCAAATGGTACTGGCAAAATTGGCTATCCACATGCAGAAAACTGAAACTAGATCCTTATATATCACCTTGCACCAGAATCAATTCAAAATGTATCAAAGACCTCAGTGTAAGGCCAGGAACCATATATTACAGGAAGGGGTAGGGGAAACACTAGGCTTCCTATGCACAGCTTGAAACTTTCTAAGTAAAGATCCAGAATCATAACAAATCAAAGAAAGACTGGATAAATGGGATTGCAACCAAACTTAAAAGTTTCTTCCTGGAAAAAACATAGCTAACAAGCTAAACAGAAAGCCTACAAAATGGGAGAAAATTTTCACCAGCTACACATCTGACAAGAGCCTAGTATCCAAAATATACTTAGAGATCAAAAAAATTAAACTCCTCAAAAATAAAATCTTAAAGGAACAACAATCCAATTAATAAATGGACTAATGACTTACAGAGAGACTTCTCAGAAAAAGCAAAAATGGCCAAAAGACAAGTGAAGAAATGTTCAACATCTCTGACCATAAAGGAATTGCAAGGCAAAGAATACTGAGAGTCCATCTCACCCCAAGAAAACTAACTACAACAAATGATGGCCTGGAGGTGGCCAAAAGGGAAGTAAGTCTATGACACTGATGGTGAGAATGTATGTTGGTTTAACCACTTTGGAAGCAGCAAAAACTAAACATAGAGCTTCCCTATGACCCAGCAATTCCTCTCTGGCATTTGTCCAAGAGGGCGCATCTATGTTCATCACAACCTTTACCATAGCTAAGATAGGAGTCAGCTCAGATGCCCCTCAACAGCTGGGTGGAAGAAGAAATGTGCTATTCACTCATCAGAAAGAATGAGATTGAATAGAAAGACTTGGAAAAAATTATATTAAGCAAAGTAAGCAAGACCTAGAGAAAGATAGGTGGCATGTTTTCCCTCATTTGTGGTAGCAAGAATATACCTATAAATCTACAAGTAAGGGCTATCAATCTACAAGAATGTGGCTTCGTGGCAGAGTGCTTACCTAGCATGCATGACGCTCTGGGTTTGATTCCTCAGTACCACATACATAGAAAAAGCCGGAAGTAGCGCTGTGGCTTAAGTGGTAGAGCGTCAGCCTTGAGCAAAAGAAGCTCAGAGACAGTGCCCAGGCCCAGAGTTCAAGCCCCGGGACTAGCAAAAAGAAAAAAATCTGCAAGTAAACACACAGGTAAGCAAGGGGTTACAAATGAGTTCACTGAAGTGTAGTAGACTATGGAGAGCACAAATACCAGGAAATGAGTACTTGCAAGAGTGGAGAGTGGTACAAGAATGAAGCAGGAAAGGGGAAAGAATGCAGGCAAGAATTCATTGTAGCCAGGAACCAGTGGCTCACACCTGTAATCCTAGCTATTCAGGGCTGAGATCTGAGCACCACAGTTTAAAGCCAGCCCAGTCAAGAAAGTCCTTGAGATTCTTATCTCTGGTTACCCACCAGAAAACCGGAAGTGGAGCTGTGGCTCAGTGGTAGAGTGTTAGCTTTGAGCAAAAAGGCTCAGGGATGGCCCAGGCCCTGATTTCAAGCCCCATAACAACAACAACAGCAACAAATTCATTGTATATGACAGAATTGAGAAATATAAGGGCAGGGTGGGTTGGGAGTGTGTGTGAAGGTGTTGAAGGGATGACACAGACCAACACATAACCTCAAACCAAGGTAAGTAAGGGAAGGAGTGGGCTGGGAGGGAGGGGGAGAAGTGGAAAGGGGTGACATTGATCAAGTCACACCATATCATACACTGTTCCGGTGGATGACAACTCCTTCATACAACGGCTGAAAGATAATGAAAAATATTCAGGAAATAATACATGAATAACTTAATCAAATTAATTCAATTAATAGTCAATTTAATTGCATTAATCAAATGTAATTGATGCACAAAAATTAAAAAGTAGGCAAAAAAAGGCCCCTCAGGAGAAGCCTGTCACTGCCCCCAGGTGACTGGAAAAGTGGCCCGGCAGCCTGTAGTGATCAGGGCAGTCCTTCATGAAGGAAGATCCTTTGTATAATTGAAGGCCAGTGTGAATGCCAATCCCAGCGGACCTTCCTGTAAATAAAGGACTGCTGCACCAATCACAGCAGAACTCTGTGCAAACAAGAGCTGTGTCCGCACCAAACATGGTACACCTCTCATTTGAACCCTTACTTTTCTTCCTCAGCTCTTTGATTTGTATTATATTCAAGACAGAATCTTGTTACCTTTACCTGAGCTGGCCTTGAGCTTGAACTCTCCTGAATCAGCTCCCAAGTAGCTGGAACTACAGGCACAAGCCACTAGGCCTGGCCTGTCCCCTCACTTACCGCTCACTGCCATGCTGTGTTCTGGTCTGTAGGGTGCAGAGGCAGAGCGGCAAGGGCCGAGGTCCCCACAGGCAGTGTGGCTTTGGCTTCCCGCTCTGTCTCGCTGTGTCCCCGGACGCTGTGTCCCTGACCCCAGTCCATCGGCTGGGATGTCGGCAGCATGGGTGCAGGGCACCGGCAGGGCAGGTGCATCCTAAGTGTGTGCACACATGCCTCAGGTGAGGAGCCTGGAGCCCAGACGGAGGGGAAGACTTAGACCCGCCAACACACTCCTAGCCCCAAGACAGACCACCAGGTCAGCTGCAAGGTCACAGACTGAGGGGAGGTGTGCGGTGTTTAGGCTGATGCTCTGCCGAGGAGGGCCGTGTGTGCATGGACCCTTCCTCCTCACTGCCACCATCCTGACCACCCCAGTCCTCCCCAGCCTGCTCAGGCCCCTCTTTATCTGGGGATGCCTTGCTACGGATGGGGGGGGGGGAAGGGCACGCTCAGGCAACTGAAACCAATGCCTCACTTGCCCCCGACAATTTGTCCCCCGAGGGTACATGGGGCTGCGGGCAAAAGGAGAGGTCACAGGCTGGGCAGGATGGCATACACAAAAACTCACTGTCAGCCAGGTCTGGTGCCCAGGACAGAGCAGCCAGTCCCCAAGCTCTCTGTCCTCAGATGGACGGCCACCCACGCTGACCACAGAGCCTCTGCTGGAGGTCTCCCCACTGGCCACCTCGCATCACCAAGGGTCTGGCTGGGCTTTCGACGCAGGGGCCTGTGGGAGAGCACCCCCGCTGGAAGGCGCTCACCCCATGCAGGTGTGTGGTCCAGGGCGGTCTCCTGCCATAAGCCTCACCTTGGAGGCAGGCTGGCCTGGGCCACCTCTCCCAGGCCATTTCCTGAAGAGCTTACGGCCTCTCCTTGTTTTCTGGCCCCATCCTCCCCAGCCTGTGCGGGCCGTGTGCACAGACGCAACCTGTGAAGCCACACTACAGAGCCCCACGCATGTCAGGGACTTGAGGGGGGCAGAGGGGCCACCTCCACGTGCTGGCCTGGCTGTTCCCCTACTGTCTGGGCCGGCACGCTAAGACAGTCGTTGCCACCGTGGAAGAGGGAACCGGCCCACTGGCCTCAGGGGAAGTGATGTCCCCTCAGCACAGGTGGGTGCTGAGCAAGAGTCCAATACCAAGAGGAGAGTAGGAGACGGCTGGCCCAGGCTCGGGTGCTTCCCACAGAAAAGGCTAGAACCCGGCTCAGAGGAGGGGGGGGGGGCGCGGGGCACAGGGGTGGGAAAACCAGAGTCGTCCATCTCCAGAGAGCAAAGCACGCAGCACAGGGACAAAAAGCCACTGGGTTCTTTTTTTCTTTTTTATTGGCAAAGTAAATATATTCTTCTGAAGGACCAAAGAAAATATACATAATTATAACATATGTACACTGCTTTATAGATTTTTAAAATTTCAAATGTACACAAATGTCAACATGTTATTAAAAGATAGCTTTATGCGGAGGTGGACCTATGTACAGTTTATTTACATACATTCACAGGGTGTGAGATAGACCTGTCAAACAAGCTAGATCACTCGATAGTAATTTCTAGACATGAGGAGGAATGCATTTCTAAGTCAAGTCAGGGCTGGAGGCTCCGGCTGGTCCTTCCGCGGCCGGGCTGCCCCTCCCTCAGTGGCCAGGGCCGGGGCCTGGGCCTATCTGGGAGATGGAGGAAGGAGCAGGACTGCTGGCCAGGGTGGCACCTAGGGCTCGATGTCCTGCACCTTAAACTCAAGCACTGCAGGCCCAGGGGGGCGCTGCTCACCCCGCCCCACGGCAGCCTGCAGCAGCTCCTCCCACCCTGCGTGGCCCTGCCACACCTCTGCCTGATGGCGGAGCAGGCTTTTGCACACAGCGGCCACACCACAGTGCAGCCCTGGACCTTCACCCTACTTCCCTCTTCCCAGTACGGCCCCCTCTGGGAACTGAGTGTTTCAAAACTGCGCATTTCTTCTTCACCAGCAATAAAGCGTTGGCTTTGGCCCAGGCTGGGAGCCCAGTGGGAGAAGGGCAAGACTCAGCTCCTGCTTCCAGCTGGTGGCTGCATGGAGGCCTGGCGGCCAGCAAGGCACAATGGCAAAGGCCCACTGGGGGCCCAGCCCGAGGGTGGGGCAGCCCCGGGGCCTCCCGGGAAAGGCAGCTCTGGGCTCTGGGTGGCACCTCCTGGGTAGCAGAAGGTGAGCTGGTAACATTGTCGCATCCCTCTGGAAGAGGCAAATAAATTATTGCTTAAAAAGGAGGGCCGCAGGAGGCGGCGGGCAGCTCAGTTGAGGGTGCGCACGGCGCGGCTGCTGCGCGGGAAGCGGTGCACCTTCACGTGCTTGGACAGGTGGTCGCTCCGCGCGAACTTCTTCTCGCACACAGGGCACTGATACGGCTTCACGCCGGAGTGCGAGCGCCGGTGCCGCGACAGCTCGTCGGAGCGAGAGAACCTAAGGGACACAGGGACAAGGGGTCAGCAGGCCTCCCTGGGGCCTGGACCTGAGTGGGGGCCCAGGTGGGGGGACCCAGAGCCCTGGCCGCCTGTGCAGCCAGGGGCAGGGCGGCTCGGCTGGGTGGTCCTCCCGGGTCAGCCCAGCTCTGCTGGGACAGGAGAGGGCCCCACCCCCACCCCGTCCCGTCTGTGCTGAGTCCTCAGAGCTCTGGCTGTGCTGCCTCACCAGCCGCAGCCAGAGCCTCTGAGGCGCATCCCGGAGTCACTGAGGGGACACTGAGCAGGCGGAGGATGCCTCCTCCCAGCGGCAGGGCTTCCCGCAGGAGGGTCCCCAGACGAGCCTGCCCCATAGGCTGAGATCTGAGGACTGCAGTTCAAGCCAGCCCGGCAGGAAAGTCCATGAGACTCTTATCTCCACTTAAACACCAAAAAAGCTAGAAGTGGAGCTGTGGATCAAGTGGTAGAGCACTAGCCTTAAGCAAAATGTGATGGCACCTGGCTCTGAGTTCAAGCCCCAGGACCATTCCCCACCCCACCCCCGCCCCCAAAAAGGTGCCCTGCCTAAGTGTTCAAGCATGTGGATGCCCCAGCATCGCCTCTCTCCACCTCTGCTGGCTGGGAACAAACACTCACACGGCAGCCCGAGCCTGCTGCGTGCTGGGCATCAGCAATTGTGTTTAAATGAGCAACCTGGCCAGGGGCTTGAGGTCAACACACACAAGGGCAGTGTTGGTGTTCTCACACGCACAACATATGAGTACGCACAACGTACAGGTACAGGCACACCCATGAGCACCAGGCCCAATGTCCCGTTCCTAGACCCAGGACAGCAGGCCCTCTCCTGCCTGATGGCAGGGCCTGCAGCTGCCCTGTCCTGCCCACAGGCCAGCGGGCACAGGAGGGGCTCCGGGACACTGAGGGCCTCAGCTCCCCGTGTTGCCCAAGGCCCAGGGTCCTGTCCCCAGTGGGCAGCTGCTGCACGTGGAAGCCAACTCCAGCCCATGCCTCTGGGAACTGTGGGGTCTGCATGGGCCCCCAAACACAGCACATCTTCTGACTCCATGAAGCTCAACCACTGTGTGTGCCGAATGAGGAAAGTGCGACTCCGGCACTGAGGACGGGTCTGAGGTACCATGACAGAGCAGCCGGCCAGAGAGCAGTTCCCGCATGACCCGCCGCCTGTCCTCACCTGCCTGCTCTGGTGACAGCGGGCAGCAGGTAACCTGACGTCTACTGAAAACTGCTAGCATCCTCCTGGCTCTGTGTGTGTGTGTGTGTGTGTGTCCCCTGCCCAGAGCTGGGGCCTCAGTTTCCCCACCCGGAGACAGGGGAAGTAATGTTCCATCCCAGAGGGCCGTGAAGCTGTTGTGATTGTCTAAGAACAGCAAGCTTGTGGTGCGGGCATGGGGCCTGGTGCAGTTCTTGGTCCCCGGGGAGGCCAAGGCCCTGGGGGACAGGCTAGGCCTCCCAAGGCTGGGGTGCGGGCAGAGGAGGCGTGGGGGTCAGGTAACCCTGGAGCTGCCTGCAGTGTCGGCACTGGAGCCCCAGCACCCAGGGGGAGGTGCCTCTGCCCAGACACTAATTGGCCATCCACCAGAAAGCCATGCTCAGAAAGTCAAGTCTCAGGGATGCAGCACCTCAAGGTGTACAGGGTCCAACCTGTCACCTCGCACCAATCTGTCCAGCGTGAGGGGGTCAGAGGCTGCTTCAGGGCAGCGGAGCCATGGGACACGGGAGCCAGCAGCAGAGCCAGCCGGACTGGCTGAGAGCCTGGCCCCTCTCCCCCCGGCTCTTTGCCTGCGGGCTTGGGTTGCCCCTCTCCTGGGTTCCTGTCCACTGCGGGCGCCACATTACCTGCCGCCCGGCCTCCGGCGGCTACCAGTGTGCACATTCACTGTGGCAGGGGATTCTTTCTGGAAAGAACGGCTTGGCCACTCTGGAACAGGGTGTCCTGCTGCAGGGAACAAAGGAGGCCTGTGTCTGTGAGCTAGCAGGGAAGGAAACTTCTAGGAAGGCTAGCACACAGCTTCTTTCCAGATGGTCAGATCACAACCAGCCAGGCTGGCATCAGCCCCTCAAGCAGGTGAAATCATGTCCCAAGAGGGGATACACGGGGCATCCCAGCAGGCAGCAGAAGGAAGTGAGGCGCGCAGCTGCGCTGGTGCTGGGCGGTGGGGCGTGCCGGCGGGGTGGAGGTGCTGCACTATTCTGAGGCCTTGGGCAGAGAACCAGGGCCAGAGGCAGCCAGAGGAAGGCAGCAAGCGTGCAGAGCCGCTGAAGCCCAGGCCCATCCACACCAGAGCGAGCTACGCCCCTGCGGATCCACACCAGAGCGAGCCACGCCCCCGCAGATCCACACCAGAGCGAGCCATGCCCCCGAGGATCCACACCAGAGCAAGCCACGCCCTTGCGGATCCACACCAGAGCGAGCCACGCCCCCGCGGAGAGTGGCTGGAGGGCTCCCCCAGTGGGGTACAGAAGAGTGGGCAGGCAATGGGATTCCTGGCCCTGCCAGCACTCATCAGCTGAGTGCCGCAGAAGCTCAGCGTTCTGTGCCTCCATCTCCTCAGAGGGGACGGACATGCAGCGGCCATCACTTTTATGGACCTATATGGAGAATGACATGATGGAAGCCACACAGAGCGCTGACAGCAGGACCTCGAGCACACGGCTCAGCAGCCGCCGGCCTGCGGCCTCAGCCAGAGCAGACAGATGCGTCCGCCTTGACCCTCGGCCGCACCCGCGGAGGGCCGCACCTCAGTCCACACTCCTGAGCACATCCGTGCGGACATGATCTTTCTGTGCCTCCGGTTCTGGTCTAGGATGAGTGAAGGGAGGCAGATGGGGTAACGGAGGCGCGATCCGGCCTGGGCAACGCCGCATGCACAGCACCGGCAGCCCCCTGCACACACCTCTCTGGCTCCCTTCAGACGAGGCTGCCAGGGAGGAGCCTCCCGGGAGCCAGACACACACCACTCTATGCTGTCCAGCTGCCCACCCTACCAAGGGTGCCACCTTGCACCCCGTGTCCCTGCCGCCGTGGGCCGGATGGGTCCAGGACAGGGAGATGGGCACGGGCTTGGATGGTCCCGAGCTGACAGCTTTCAAGTATCTACTGTCACTTGCATACCTGCTACGGGGTGCTCACCACCACGAAGCGGCTGTGGAGGACAGGGCTCACCCGTGAATACCCCCGACTACTCAGCCAGCCCCCTGGTCCTGGGGGGAGGGGGCTGCAGAGGGTGGCCTCAGCCTCGGCCCCATCCCAGCTCACTGGCTGGTCGGTACCAGCCAGGGGACGGCAGTGAAGAGGCAAGCCGGACTGAGTACAAGCCAGTGCTGTGGGGCAGCCCTTCTCCCCACAGACCTGCCCCGCCCCACCAAGCACGTACAGTCCCACCGACACTCCACGGCATTGTCCACGAACCCACACAAGACTCATCAGTCCCTCCTTGATCTCTGATGGTTAGCTGACAACTGGCGTGCAGACAGGGGGCACTGCAGACCACTCCTGTACTTGCCTGGAGCTCCTCTCCAGGAGAAACTGAGGCTCAGTGCCCCAGGGACACAGAGTGAGCTGCCGGCTGGTCAGGGGCTCAAGCCCTCCACTGCCTCCTCCAACTGGGGGCCACAACACACTCCCCGTTGTCCAGTTAAGAGCACAAAGCCCCTCCCCTGCCCTCCTCCTCCACCCCGCAGCCCCCCCCCCCCCAAACGGGGCCTGCCCTCACACGACACCGCACGTGGCTCAGAGCAGGAGGGACGTGGGAGGGAGGCTGAGCAGGTGGCGCTCAGGACAGGCTGCCACGCACCAAGGCACTCTTGGGGAGCCTTCTCCAGGCAGCTTGTGCCAAAGACCACATTGTGAGGGCTGTCCATGACACAGCCTTGGCAGGCCAGGACCCGGCCTGGGACCAAGGCTCATGAGCTCTGTGAGCCAGTCTGCTCCAGAAAACAAGAGCGACACTGCTCTGCCATACCCCCAGACACACCTGTGCACACAGGGCACGTCACCATACGCCAGGTGCACAGGTGCACCAACACACGGCTCGTATCACCAGCTGTGCGCCTGTGCTTGAAGCCTCCACAGCGGGCCTGCGCACCATGCTCTGGCCGCACACTCAAGAGCCACAGCAGCAACACGCAGACCGTGCTGAAAGCTCCTGCCACTGTGGGGGGTGGATGCACCTCCTGCGGGGGCTGAGCAAGGGTGACACACAGGGCCTCTCTGCCCCAGAAGTTGGGCAGGCCTGGCAAGGCCCCCACGCTATGAGTTCCACACAGGGCAGAGAGCCTGGAAGACTTTCGCCATCTTTGACCCAACACCACAGCCAGCCTGGCCTTCTGGGTTGGCTCTGCGGCGTCCCACACCCCTCCACATCCCTGGGAGGAAGCAAGGACCAGGCCTGACTCACATACCCCCAAATATCTGCCCCAGGCAGCTTGTCCCTCCCGGCTCGGCCCCCATGCAGCATTTTCAGGATGAGCCTCTAACTCAACCACTGGGCTTCAAGTCCCATTTATGGACTGGTGTGAGCTGGGGCCGGGTCTCCCACAGCCCGGGCCTCAGTGTCCTTAGGACCTCCCTGCCCCCCCCTTCCTTGAGCTGGGGTCTGGCGGTCCTTACCCTGTGTGGGCCGTGAGGGTCAGGGACAGAGCCCTACTCCATCACCTTTGGCTGTCCTGTCTGCATAGGTGCCCCGCTGCTGACCGCTGCCCTCGGCCCACCAGACCGAGAGACCCACAAGGACTCAGCACTCGCTCGGAACAAGCCACAGCAAGCCCGACCTGGTCATTAGGAAACTGAAGGCAGGTGGCCTCCAGTGTTAGTAAGCACAGGGACAAGGAAGCCTGGGCAGCTGGGCCCACGCGGACCCTGACCTTTCCTGTGGGTGAAGAACTGGGCCTGGGCTGCACGCCTGTGAGCCCGCAGGAGGGGTCCTCACTGGCCGTGAGGCCGGTCCCTGCCATACTGACCTCCAGCCGCAGCCCGGCCAGGTGCAGGCAAAAGGCTTCTCGCCGGTGTGCCGCCGCAGGTGAGCCTTCAGATGGCTGCTTTTCGTGTACATCTTGCTGCAGCCGGGGAAAGTACATTTGTGCATTTTGATGAGTTCTGCTGCTGGGTTCTTGGTGAACTTCTGGCCCACGAGGAGGCCGGCGGGGCTGGGTCCCAGGGGTCCCGACCCAATGGGTTTGGCGGCGATGGGCACCGGAGCGATGCGCACGAACTTCGAGGGCAGGCTCAAGTTGGAGGAGGGCACCACCTGGGGCACAAGCGCGAAGGTCTGCCCCTGGATGTTGACCAGGAGCTGGGCCACCTTGACGTTCTCGGGGGCCTGCCCGGGGGAAGCGGGGTCTGCGCCGGCCTCCTGCTTCACAGCTACTGGCTGGATCTGCAGCAGTACCGGGATGGGACCATCGGGTGCCGGCCCCTCCCCTGAGCCCTGGGCACCGCCCACACCGGTGCCATCTGGGGGAGGGGTACCGCGTTCTCTCCCTGCAGACCCTGGGTGTAGGTGGCTCCTGTGGGGCCCAGCCAGCTCTTGGCCACAGGCTTCGTAGTCTTTGCTGCTCTCCGGGGCCTCCCTGGCCTTTGGCTCCATGTTCTCCTCCAGGAACTCCTCGATCTCCTCCAGGGTGGGCTGGAAGGGCCGGGGGACGTCATCAGGGTCACCCAGGGGGAAGTCAGAGAAACAGATATGTTCCCCCTTCGTGGGCACTGGAGCTCTCCGCCAGGGCCCCCACGTCACGGGGCTACTGCTGTCCCCAATGCTCCCGCCGCCACCGCCACTGCCCAGTGTGGCGTGGGACAGCAGGAAGTCCAAGATGCTGTCCTGGCCCTTGGTGCCCGGCCTTCCTCTGTAGCAGGAGCAGCGGGCGTGCAAATCGGGGCTGGCACAGGAGCAGGGGCTGGAGGCATCGCTGTCATCTTCAGAGACAGGCGAGGGCAGCACGTGGTACCCCCGCCGGCCGGCCAGCCTCTCACCCAGGTAACCCACGGGGCATTTTGGAGACGAGAAGGTCTCATCTACTGGAACCAAGTGGTCCACCATGCTGGCCTGGCCGTGCCAATGGTCACTGCAGAGGGAACAAGGAGGCCTGGTCAGAAAGTCGGGGGGCTCGCTGACAGCGGGCTGGGGCCCCACGCTCAGCTGCCTGCCCACAGCCTCCACAGCCAAACCCCGCTCCTGCCTCCATCCCTCGGGAGGACAGGCCGGAGCAGTGTTGGCTGAAATTGCACCACTCTGCTTGCAAAAGAGCCCTCGTCACCCCATTGCACAACCCAGGCACTCTGGTCTCAGACACTCCTGGAAAAGGACACCCCATGTGCCTGTGATCAGCCATGTGTGTGAGAGAGGGGCCTTCCAGGGGAGGAGGTATGCTGGACCCAGAATGGCCCAGGATGGGAAGACACTATGTCTGCAGACCCTAACTTCAGCTTCCTGCTAGAGGAGTCACCCTGGGAGCAAAAGGGAGAATGGCCGAGTGCCCTCTGACAGGAGGTGGCTGGGGCTTCCAGGCTGAGCAGGGCACTTGTGGCTCACATCTGTAATCCTAGCTACTCAGGAGGCTGAGATCTGAGGACTGACATTCAAGGCCAGCCCAGGCAAGAAAGACTTCTTTATCTCTAACTAGCCACTAAAAAGCCAGAAGTGGAGCTGTGGCCCAAGTGATTGAGTGCTAGCCTTATGCAAAGAAGCTCAGGGACATTGCCCAGGCCCTTGCCTAGCCCTGAGTTCAAGCCTGTGGACTGGCACAAAACAAAACAACAACAACAAGACCAGGCTGTGTGTTAAATGTGAATTTCAGGTTGAAAAAAGAATCTACTTTTCACAGAAGACCTGGGATGGGATACACTGATTTTAACTTTTTTTTCCTGAGTTTTAAATGGGCAATTATCTTTTAAATGGGTAGTTAATAAGTAAAGAGGTAAAAAAGTCAAACAGCAGCAAGCTCTTCCTCCTCCCCTCTCAGGGCTGTTTCCCCATCCAAAGGGGACCCGAGTTCTGCCTCCCCCTCTGTGAACCAGAGAGGTGAGCTTCAGCTGCCTCCCGTCACCGCGGGAGAGGCCAAGGCCCGGGCCTCCTGCTGGGTTGTGGGCCTCACTGCCTCATCCACCATCTCCTTTGGCGCCATTGCCTCTAACAGGATGGAGAAACACGCGCAAACACCCTCCCACGTGCAGACACCCCCCGGGGGCCCATCAAGAAGCTGAGCAGAATGGAAGACACGTGTGCACTCACACAAACACACACACCCATTGCCACGGCCACTGCTGTCGTCCGGGACACTCACCACCGTGGGGGCTGGGCTAACGCCTATCTCCTCGCTCCATGTCTCTGTGGAGGTCCTGCCTGGTGCCCAGGAGGGGCTCAGAGGACACTGGCAGACAACAGCGGGGAAGCCGTGTCCCGGGAAGCCAAAGGCCATGCTAGGTTTGGCGTCCGAGGGGGAGAGTCAATAGTGCCTGGCCGTGACAGGGCCACCTCTCTGGACCTTTGTCCCCATCCAGTGACCACGGTGGGCTGGGTGTTTACAAGCTGAAGGAGCGCCAGCATCCCTGCTGCTTGGCATCACCTCTGCATCTACCCCCTTGTCTTCAGGACCACTCCCCCCCAACCCACACACGCAGCACAGCACCTCTGGCAGCAGTGACCTTTCCATGCTCCAATGGTCTCTAAGCCTCCCTCCCGCACAAGGACACAAGGACCTTTGACTCAGCTCCCACATGGCCTGGGAGCCTCTAGGAAGGAAGCTCCAGGAGGAGCAGGTTTGCAGAAGTCCACCGTATTCAGCTAAGGATCTAACCTGGGGCTGTTTTAAGATGCACACTATTAAATTGGAACCCCTACGCACAACCATTTGAAGATAATAACACAAATACAATACACACAATTCATCAAACAAATTCCTGGGAAGGAATGGACCTCCAAAGCCTGTGCTACACAGAGCACTGTCAACCGTGGTACGGAGTGGCACCACCTGCCCGCAGGTCATAGCTCCAGGCAGCCCGGGGCCCTCCCCCTCTCCCCTCCCTCACCCCTCCCGTGCTTGTCAGTTGTCCCTGTGGGTCCCTCTGCCCCAGCACTCCAGGTGGAGGCTCCCCAAAGGGTGCGTGTGTGTGCACGTGTGTGCGTGCACCTGTGAGTGTGTGCGCGCGTGCGCGCGCCTTGTGTGCGCGTGCGCGTGTGTGCGCGCACCTGTGAGTGTGTGCGCGCGCGCCTTGTGTGTGTGTGCGCGCGTGCGTGCGTGTGCGTGTGGTCTTACAGGTGCGAGGACTCGCACTCGCTCTCACAGTCTCGCCGGGCTCTTTTTACTCAAGGCGGGGGATGCTCCGGCTGAGCCGCACCTCCGCTCCTGGGTGGTATTAATGAACGATTCCCAGTGCGCGGCCTGAGCAGCTTCCCAGTGCCAGGCCCACTGCTGGGCCTCCCGGGAGGTGCCCTGTGGGAAACTACCTCGGCACTTTTGCTTCCTGTCTACCTTCCCACCAGAATACAAGCCAGTGCAAAGCGATCCCGGAGTGAAACACGCACGGGGCTGGCGCAGGTCACGCGCGGGGGGCCGGGATCCGGCAGCTGGGCCTGCACGCGGGGCTCCGCGGCTCTGAAGGGCAAGCAAGGGCTCTAGGACCGGCCGGGCGGAGGTGGCGGCGGCCGCGGTCCGGGAAAACAGCAGCACGTGGCGCGGGCGGAGGCGGGGCCGGGGCGGGGCGGGGGAGGGGGGGACGCGCCGTTCCGGGCACCGGCCCCGCCCCCGCCCGCCGGCCAGGCCTGCTGTTTATCCTCCCCGGGACACAGCGGCTGCAGGAACAACATGTAATTGATAACAAGCCCAGCGCCGGCCAAGGGCTCGCCATTGGGTCAGCGTGCAAATCACGGGGGTGGCGGTGGGGGCCACTCTTCAAAATAAGAGTCTCCTCCCGGAGCTACCCGAGGATCCTAAAGTCGCCCGGTCCGGCCGGGGCGTTCTCTCACCTGTGGGGCTCCCCGGGGAACCCCTGGGCGCGGGAGGGAGGGGATTCCGGGGCCCACGCCGGGGACTCCTCACCCTCGGGGACGCGGAAGGGCCCAGCCCGGGCTTCCCAGCGCACAGTGGGCAGGGCAGGGGCTGCGGCCTCCCCGGTCCCGGGCCCGAACACGTCGGGCCGGGGACGCGGAGCTGGAGGTGCGGGGCGCGCAGGGGGTCAGGCGTGTGACAGCGCGGCGGGGCCGTGCGCAGCGGGTGGCGGGGCCGTGCGGGGCCGTGCGCAGCGGCGCCGGCGCCCGCGGGGCCCGCGCGAGGGTCCACCCGGGACGGGGCCGCGCGTGGGAAAAGGCGTGGGCGCTGCCCCGGCCCCGCACGGCGGCCGCCGGGCCCCGGGCCCTCCGCGCGGCCCCCTCGCCCGACCCCGCCGCGGTGACCGACAGTAACCCCTCCGCCTCGCACCGCGGCCGCGCTCCCCTCGCGCCCGGGCCGGCCCCCGCCCCGCCATATGGGAGGCCGGCCCGGCGGGCGCGCGGGGCCTCCGCGGGGAGCGCGGGCCGCGGCGCCCGGGGTCGCCGCCCCGCCCCCTCCGGGCCCCGGACAGCGCGCTCCCCGGCCCCGGCCGCCCCCGCCCCCGGCCCCGGGCCCCGCAGCGCGGCCGGCCCCGCCGCGCCTCTCCCACCTGGCGTGGCCCGCGGCCGGGCCCCGGCGGTCCTGCGGCACGGGGCCGGGCTGGGCGGGGCGCGGCCCGGCGGGGGTCTGGGCGGCCGCGGGCCGGGCCGCGGTCTGCGCTCGCTCGCTCGCTCGCGGTGTCGCCGCTGCCCGCAGTCGCTGCGGCGGAGCCCTGGCCGCCCGCCGCTCTCCGCGCTCACCCCGGGCCGCTCACGTGATGCCGCGGGCGCCGCGAAGGCTCGCAGGAGGCTCGGCCTCGGGCGCGCGCCCCATTGGCCAGCGCCGCGCGTCACGCGCCCGCCCCGGCCCCGCCCCGGGCCCCGCCCCTCCCGCCGGGCTCGGCGCGGCCCGGCTCCCAGCGCCCGCCTGCGGCCGGACCTGCGCGCCGCGGAGCCCCTGGCGCCGGCCCGCTCCCCGCGCCCGGCCCCTCCCGGGGCCACAGCGTCCACGTCGGTCCGCGCCCGGAGCTGGGCCCGGGCGAGCCTGTGAGACCTGCGGACGGGCCCGAGGTGCGCCCCGGCCCGCTCCGGCCCCCGCGGCCGGACGCCGGGTGAGGTGGAGACTTGCCCCGGGCCTCGCGGGAGAAACGCAGCGGCACCTCAGTGTCCGGCCGGGCCGTGCGGCGCCCGGCGTCCCGGACGCGCTCGCGCGGGCTGCGGAGGGAAGGAGGGGCGCGGGCGGCAGCGGAGCGCACGAGCGCGGTGCCATCGCTGCGGAGCCGTGCGCTGCGGTGCCATCGCTGCGGAGCCATCGCTGCGGAGCCATCGCTGCGGAGCCATCGCTGCGGAGCGCACGAGCGCGGTGCCTGCGCTGCGGAGCCATCGCTGCGGAGCCATCGCTGCGGAGCCGTGCGCTGCGGAGCCATCGCTGCGGAGCCATCGCTGCGGAGCCATCGCTGCGGAGCCATCGCTGCGGAGCCATCGCTGCGGAGCCGTGCGCTGCGGAGCCATCGCTGCGGAGCCATCGCTGCGGAGCCATCGCTGCGGAGCCGTGCGCTGCGGAGCCATCGCTGCGGAGCCATCGCTGCGGAGCCATCGCTGCGGAGCCGTGCGCTGCGGAGCCATCGCTGCGGTGCCATCGCTGCGGAGCCATCGCTGCGGAGCCGTGCGCTGCGGAGCCATCGCTGCGGAGCCATCGCTGCGGAGCCATCGCTGCGGAGCCATCGCTGCGGAGCCGTGCGCTGCGGAGCCATCGCTGCGGAGCCATCGCTGCGGAGCCGTGCGCTGCGGAGCCATCGCTGCGGTGCCGTCGCTGCGGAGCCATCGCTGCGGAGCCATCGCTGCGGAGCCATCGCTGCGGTGCCATCGCTGCGGAGCCATCGCTGCGGAGCCATCGCTGCGGTGCCATCGCTGCGGTGCCATCGCTGCGGAGCCATCGCTGCGGAGCCATCGCTGCGGAGCCGTGCGCTGCGGAGCCATCGCTGCGGAGCCATCGCTGCGGAGCCATCGCTGCGGAGCCGTGCGCTGCGGAGCCGTGCGCTGCGGATCCGTGCGCTGCGGAGCCATCGCTGCGGAGCCATCGCTGCGGAGCCATCGCTGCGGAGCCGTGCGCTGCGGTGCTGTGTGCTCTAAGGGTGCTGTGTGCTCTGAGAGTGCTGTGTGCTCTGAGGGTACTGTGCGTTCTGAGGGTGCTGTGCGCTCTGAGGGTACTGTGCGCTCTGAGGGTACTGTGTGCTCTGAGGGTGCTGTGTGCTCTGAGGGTACTGTGTGCTGAGGGTGCTGTGCTCTGAGGCTGCTGTGTTCTGAGGGTGCTGTGCTCTGAGGGTGCTATGCGCTCTGAGGGTACTGTGCTCTGAGGGTGCTGTGTGCTCTGAGGGTACTGTGCACTCTGAGGGTGCAGTGTGATCTGAGAGTGCTGTGTGCTCTGAGGGTACTGTGCTCTGAGGGTACTGTGTGCTCTGAGGGTACTGTGCGCTCTGAGGGTGCTGTGCGTTCTGAGGGTGCTGTGCGTTCTGAGGGTGCTGTGTGCTCTGAGGGTGCTGTGCGCTCTGAGGGTGCTGTGCTCTGAGGGTGCTGTGTGCTCTGAGGGTGCTGTGTGCTCTGAGGGTGCTGTGGGCTCTGAGGGCGCTGTGCACTCTGAGGGTGCTATGCTCTGAGGGTGCTGTGCGCTCTGAGGGTGCTGTGCGCTCTGAGGGTGCTGTGTGCTCTGAGGGTGCTGTGCTCTGAGGGTGCTGTGTGCTCTGAGGGTGCTGTGTGCTCTGAGGGTGCTGTGCGTTCAGAGGGTGCTGTGTGCTCTGAGGGGACTGTGTGCTCTGAGGGTGCTGTGCTCTGAGGGTGCTGTGTGCTCAGAGGGTGCTGTGTGCTCTGAGGGGACTGTGTGCTCTGAGGGTGCTGTGCTCTGAGGGTGCTGTGCGCTCTGAGGGTGCTGTGTGCTCTGAGAGTGCTGTGCTCTGAGGGCGCTGTGCGCTCTGAGGGCGCTGTGTGCTCTGAGGGTGCTGTGTGCTCTGAGGGTGCTGTGCTCTGAGGGTGCTATGCTCTGAGGGTACTGTGTGCTCTGAGGGTGCTGTGTGCTCTGAGGGTGCTGTGTGCTGTGAAGATACTGTGTGCTCTGAGGGTGCTGTGTGCTCTGAGGGTGCTGTGTGCTCTGAGGGCGCTGTGTGCTCTGAGGGTGCTGTGTGCTCTGAGGGTGCTGTGCTCTGAGGGTACTGTGCTCTGAGGGTACTGTGTGCTCTGTGGGCGCTGTGTGCTCTGAGGGTGCTGTGTGCTCTGAGGGTGCTGTGTGCTCTGAGGGTGCTGTGCTCTGAGGGTGCTATGTGCTCTGAGGGTACTGTGTGCTCTGAGGGTGCTGTGCTGAGGGTACTGTGCTCTGAGGGTACTGTGTGCTCTGAGGGTACTGTGCGCTCTGAGGGTACTGTGTGCTCTGAGGGCGCTGTGTGCTCTGAGGGTGCTGTGCTCTGAGGGTACTGTGTGCTCTGAGGGTACTGTGTGCTCTG